TAAAATTATCTGATAACTCCATTGATTGTTTTGTTTTTTACTCTCTTTTCAGGGGCAGACATAGCAGAGCTCATGATGGACTTTGTTGAATGGCTGACTAATCAAGAGTTTGGTCGTCAGTGTATTCTCAGTGTGCGAGATGTCTTGTCATGGGTTAATTTTATGAATGTCATGGTAGAGGATGAAGAGTCGAATTCTGCCAAGGAATATAGCCTTCTCTACATTTCTCCAATTATGTCTTTTATCCATGCTGCATGTTTGGTATACATTGATGGAATAGGATCAGGTAAGTCTTCAGTGCTCGTTTGGTAGCAGAAAATATGACGGTATATATTTATATTAATATTTTTGAGTAGAACGCAAACAAAATGTTTTGGGGCAGCATGGAACTCTTCTGGGAGAAGTTTTTACTTCCACTTAATATTCTATACTTCGTAAGCCTTTTTTGTGTTTCAGTAGCAAGAGTTTGAATAATACAACAAGCTTAAGTAATAAATTAGAGGTAGTAATAATAATATTACAAAAGTTAGCACACAAATTAAGAAAGCCTGTGTTTTTTATTGAGTCTTCTGAGCTGATATAGTACTTAATTACATGTCCCACCCCACGTGTCAGCATCTGTGTGTGCTAGCCTGTATCATGTGCATAGCTCAGAATGCATCTTTGCATGTGTGGCCACTGGCTCAGCTGATAAATAGGAGATGTAGGAGTGGGGAAAAAGTGAAAAGCCACAAGAAATGCGGGGAAAAAAGGCCTGGGGGGGACTATGGCAAGGGATCAGGATGATAATGATAGTAGAAGAAAGCATTTTGGAAATAAGGTGTCCTTAATTCTGTTGCTCAGAGAACAATTTGTCCATGGTAAACAGTACTGGAAGCACTGGCAAGCAAAAGCACTAACATGAAATATAAACCTGAAACAGAATACTACACAAAAATGGCATCTGTGAAGGAACTGTGTTTCTTAGTCATAAGATGAATGTGCCTAGTTATGTTTGTGAAGCATGCTTAACTTTTCCAATTACAGGTACAACATCCTGCTCTGCTGATACGGCTTTATTAGCTCGTGAAAAATGCCTGACATTCTTATGTGAGGAAATGAGTCAATTCCTTGAGCTGACTGATTATCAGAAGAATGAACTAAAGATTTATGACAGAACAAAGGAGAGAGAGTTTGTGTGGATGGACAACTTTATGGGAATCCACCCCTTTTTTATTCCAAGAGGCAAGAGACTTCGTGGGAGTGGGTGGACATTTATTCTGTGGGGTTTTATTCCCAATAGTTCTGTTATTCACTAAATCTAAGTAGGATACCTGAACTATTACAGAACAATTTATAGTTTGTTCTCAAGCCTTAGAAAAATGCCTTTTCTGCCTCAAAGTATGTTGATTGCAACTCGATCACATTTATTAAGAAGATACATCTGTTAATTGCTTTCTTTGACTTCTTAAAATTCCTGGTTAATGGCCTAATTTTAGTAGACTTTTTTGGTGTAACAAGGCTTCTTTAATTTTGAGTTGTAATTTTCTGTCACTTTGCATGATCAGAGTGTCTGCTAACTTCCACTAACAAAAGCTACAGCTCATCCTGGCCCTTGTGTAAAACATGGGAAGCAGGGGTGCTGGGTACAGTGCTAAACAGAATGGAGACTGATGCCCTGCCTTGCTGTAGCCTCTTAAAGATTCACTGCAATTTTTGCAAAATTATTTAGTCTCTGCATTTCAGTTCCTCATGTGACAAATTAATGCAAATGGAACCATCAAAATATTGCTTTCTACCCTTAAAATACAGTGATGGGACTAATAAGTGATGACTATGAGCTTTCTAGTTCAGCTGGTTAGTTTTTAGTACATGGAGCTATGTGTTCCTAATGCTGTATTAATCATTCATCTTT